CTTATAGCATTGATAAGAATTTTACAGCAAATATTTATTCATTAGTTAGCCAGGCCGCGTTTTTTTGTTCAACTTGGGGTAGTACAATCTTTATGAGCTTCATAGTTGTCATTTTAGGTGGTTAGGGCACTCGACTCGCAATCTGAGGGTCGCGGGTTCGAATCCCCATCACACCAAACATGCTCGCCCTTTCAGCCGTGGGGGCGGTCAATCCCACTATTCACTGGTAAAAGAGTAGCCCAAGAGTTGGCGGTGGGTGGTGATGACTAGCTGCCTTCCCTCTAAATTAGGGACGGCTAGCGCAGATAGCCCTCGTGTAGCTTTGCGCGAAATTAAAAAAACAAACAAAACTTTCTCTTAGCGCTTGATCTTCTATTTTTATATACGCCCCCCAGTAGCACAGCGTTATGTCTGCGAACTTACAGTCTTAGAATCCGGGTTTCGATACCCGTGGTGGGCAGAGCACGGATAGCCTATTGTGCAGCTTTGTGCTTAACTTCAAACAAACAAGCCCCCCAGTGGCACAGCGTTATGTCTGCGAACTTACAACGCTAGAATCCGGGTTTCGATACCCGTGGTGGGCAGAGCACAGATAGCCCATTGTGTAGCTTTGTGCTGAATTACAAACAAACAATGTTTATATAATTTTCTTCCTGTAATTTTCTGTCTATTTTTTCTTTTAATTTTTGAGTTTTTATTTTGGATCTTTTTTAAATTTTTCTACCTTATTTTTCTAATTTTCTGTCTTCCTTTTAATTCTTCTTGCAACTGTTTCCTAATTTCCAACAAATGTTCCAACTTGCCCTGTGCATGTGTCATCATCTTTAAGTTTTTGTTCCTTTATATATTCGGTTTTATTTTTACCAAAACTCTTCCAATCGCAAAACCACTTTGTAAGGGTTTCTATTGCTGTGTGGATTCTTCTTTGATTATTCGGTAAAAATAGTTCAAGTTACATCCATTTAACAATAACTAGTTATTCATTTCTCCCAATGCAATACAAGTCCTACAGCCTATGTTCGGTGATAGGCCTAACTCACAAATAATGCTTCAACGGAAATTCCGAAACTAATTGTGCGCCTATCCCCAAAAAATACTCAAGTCACTTACTTGCAAAGTGTCCACGCCTATGACAACACAACTTTAACTGGGTTTCTAACACACTCAGTAATCGATGGATCGAAAACAGATTCACTAACTAACTAACTAACTGTTACCAACTGACTGTCTCGCTGATTGACATAATTATCTTTAGCTTGCTCACTGTCTAACTAATTAACGCATTCACTTTGGTGTTTTTATGTACAATTCTTGTTTTCTCCTTTACTTCTGAATAGCCCTCCCCACCCCATTGTGACAGTGGTAAGTCTAGGGACTTAAAACGCTCAAATAAGGGGGGTTCGATTCTCCGCGGCGGACACAGCAAATAGCCCAATGTGGCTTTGTTCTATGAAGAACAACAATAACAAAAAACACAAGTATTCTGATGATTCGAGATGTTGCGTCATCATTACATTATGCTAAAACTCTCTCTAGTGAACAAAATATTAAAAACACAGCCAAGAACAGCACGTGAAATCTTTCCACGTAGTAAAAATTACAATAAGAAGGATGTCAACTTATTCATCTAGCTAAATATTGAAAATCTTAAACGTTCATTTTCAAAACAGCTAAAATTCTAGCAGGATAGCTGAGACTATTCACGCAGCTCTATATAGAAAACCCTTAAAGTTCTGTTACAAAACAGTAAACACTTTAGCTGACTGACTATTCACGTAGCTCCATATAGACAACCTTTAAAGTTCTGTTACGAAGCAGTAAACACTTTATAAATATAGTTTGTTTTGAATTTCGCGCAAAGATACACGAGGGCTATCTGCGTTAGCTGTCTCTAATTTAATAGTGTAAGACTAGAGGGACGGTCTACTAATGAATAATGGGATTGACCGTCACATTATAACGCTCCCACAGCTGAAAGGGCGAGCATGTTTGGTGTGACGGGGATTCGAACCTGTGACCCGCAGATTGCAAGTCGAGCTCCCTAACCAACCTGGGCATATAAATATAGTTGTCAGAGTTTTAACGTAATTAAATAACAATAAAAGACATCCTAAAAGAAGTAATCTGAAGTAGATAAGCTTCAGTGACATTTTTGTCAATTTTCAACATATTTATTTATACTTGGAAAATTACTTACTCGTCTTGAAACCGAAATAATTTATATTAAACTATTTTCTTAGTTAATATCTCATAACCCTTAACTTTTTAATACGTTTATACATTTTACAGTTAAGGGGGAGGAGAGGAGTTAAACAACGTATATTAATAATTTTTTATTTCATCAGACATTCTATCCGAAAAAAAGCTCAATTATAGTGTACGATTTGGGTTATGTTGGCTCAATATTGAGTTCACTCAAACTTATATCCAAGTTATAAGACATATGAAATTAGCAGAGATATTTCTTTACTCATAACCGTGCAAACTGAAGACTTCTTTGTTTGTAGTTAAGCACAAAGCTGCACAATGGTCTTACCGCTGTGCTACTGGGGGCTAAACTGTTTACTTATTCATTTAAAGTTGTACTTTCGTGCAAATTTGTTTTTAAGTTTTTTTCTTCCCACAGACGGTATCTCAAGTGAGATAGGGGTGAGCAGTAAAGAAACACTACTGAAAAATTACTATCAATTTTAATGTGATTTAATGTTGCATTCTTATTATCTTTGATATGTATATAATGTTATAGTCTACATGAGTTATCTTGATGTTTTGTAGAAATATGATTTGTTCTACAGACTTCTCGTACGTCCCCTTCGATAACAATATTGTTGTTTTATAACAAGATAGATGGCAGTACCATCGAAATGCAAATTATGGGTTAACCATTATATTAAATTTCCTATAATTTTTGCTAACGACTATAATATGTAACAACAACGTTTCCTCTCTTATACACTTCCTAATACCTACTAAAAACCAAAAATCAAAAACGAATTATCAACGAAATCGCTAACATTTCACTTAGCTAGATGTTTTACTGCCAGTTTGGTAAATTTGTAAAGCATACAGTATAAATTCTAAAGGTTAAAAACAAAATTATTTGATGAAAAGTTTTTTTTGTTTTTTTAAGTATTGTATATAATTAATTATTTAAGGTTCGTAGTTGTGTAATAAGACTGTCAATAGTGTGTAACCTAATATATTAACACAAATATGGAAGAATTGAGACTCTTTTCCTCTGGTTTTATCTTTATTAGAAAGCATATTTATGTTGCTTTTTCTTTACATTTTGTCGTGGAGTTTTATTCAAGCTGTATAGTGCGCTTTTGATATACATTACACAGCCGAGAAAATAGCAAATTTATCTTATTCGTACAGACTCAAAACCAGAAAACCAAAACAAACGTTGTATATGGAGTCATTTATTTTACTCTGTGTGGTCATTGAATTAGTTCTTGTTTTGTTTAGCAAATCAAGAAGACTACACGTTGATTTGCTACGATATTTACAGAACTGCATTTAGAGCAGGGATGAAATTCTCAAAACAAAAGTAAAGATGCACTGCTGGGTGAAGTGGATCTGTTCTTGAAAAAGAAAAAAAATCTACGTGTAAACATAAAATACGACAAAGCAGTTCAAATAAGTCCCGAAGCTAGTACCGCCTTAAAAATAAGTTCCGGTACTCAGTACGGATGAGTACCGGTAGAATTTCACCCCTGATTTAGAAATATACCTGTGAAGAACAATGACAGTTCCACCGATGTCCAAATAATAATTAAAGTTTCTACTTTTTTTTTTCACAATAAACGTTCAAATACTAGGAATTATTCATTAAGTTACCACGTGATGTAATTATAGGCAACATTTCATGTCACAATAAACGTTCAAAGACCAGGAATTATTCATTAAGTTACCACGTGATGTAATTACAGGCAACATTTCATGTCGTTATTTATTTGTTTTGAATATTCTTGTAAAGCTACTCAAGGGCTATCTGTTCTAGTCGTACCTAATTTATGAACTGATAGACTAGAGGGAAGATAGTCAACAGAAGCCACCGTCAACTCCTGGACTGCTCTTATCTTACTAAATAGTGGGATTTGGCCGTTATCTTTATCACGAAGCGAAGCCCAGAAATGCTGAGCGTGATTTTTGTTTTTTGGCGGGAACTCGGGAAGCGAGTGGTTGATCCGCAGATGCATATTTCGGCACACTAACAACTGGGCCATGCTCGACCATTTTATTTCTAAGACTGAAATAATTTGATATTGATAGTTAGTACAGTTAGATGGTTCACTTGAATTGACAATCTTTGTCCTTGATCTTTTCTCAGAAATATTATCTTGATCGTTTAACAGGACATACTATAATTTCGAGTAGCGTGACTTTTATAGCATGGTTTGTGACGGGCGTGGCATAGTGGCTAGTGTGTCGGGCTGTGGGTCTATGAGTCCATCGTAGCGTACTGTAACTGCAACTTGTGCCGTTATGAGAGTGACGGTTAAATCCCATTATTCGATTAGACAACACTATCAAAAGAGTTGGGGGTGGGCGCTGTTGATTAATTTTCCTCTCTGTCTAAAACGGCCTAAAATTAAGCATAGCTAGCGAGATAACACTGTTATTTACCGAAATCTACCTGTCCATATTTCGAGAGTTGCGGGACTGGCATATATAATTATTTACAAAATATAGTGGTCATATAATCACATGTAATCATTATTAACGAGATATGTTAGAGTTTCAAAAAGTACTTACTAATTGTACTGTCGAAAATGTCTATACAAAGTAAATCACACATCTTGCTTTATTCATTCTCTTTAATAAATTAAGTAATTGCTTTTGGTGATACATCATTTTGTTTTTATTTGGATTTTTTTTTCTTTTCCAAGATTTTTTTTCGTGGTCACAATATCTACATCTATTTCATTGCAATTAAAATATATACAACAGTGCAAAGGAAAACAAACCAAAACAGTCACTGTTTGTATTGAGAACTATTTTTTTTTTTACACAGTTTTCACAGTAACTTAGTTTAATTTCTTCGTGAATCTTCGGACCTTGGCGGAGTATCCTCGGAAATCCTGAAACAGTTAAACAAGCGAGAAAAGAAAGTTAATAAATATATGCGGATGATATTTACATACATATTACATTATCGATAAATAATATTTTGGAAGAACTGTCAAAAACATTGAGCCCAAGAAAAGGTACAGCATTAAAACACGTGACAGAAAGCTGTAAGAAAAGGTTTTTGAAATTGATCGTGGTAAACAACCGAATATCTCTTTTGATAACCTAACACTCACGTTAGTCAAGACAGTTTGTTTGTTTGTAATTAAGCACAAAGATACACAATGGGCTGTTTGTGCTCTGCCCACCACTGGTATCTAAACCCGGTTTCTACCGTTATAAGTCTGCAGACATACCGCTGTGCCACTGGGAGGCAAGTCAAGACAGAAAATGTATTAAAAGTTTAAAGTTGTTCTTAAAATGGACAACCCGCTTGGTGAACTTGTGATTAAACGAAGTTCAGTTTCAAATCCACCTCATAGCTACTATAAATATATATTTCACATTTCTTAAAAAAAACAACAACAACAAATATACAAATTATGAAAGCATAGATTTTTATTTTAAGTTTTTAAATTTCAGTCGTAATTTAATTTGAATTATTTTATATGATAAATAAAACTTGAAATTCTGAAAACTTCTGTTATCATGAATAACTTAAAAACACACACTCACTTAGTTTATTAATTTATCTTTATTCATATATATATATTCGAACATTTATGTACTTCTCGGACATAGTTCGCACGTGGATAGAAATGGTGCTGCACCCTATCGTAAAACTACAAAACGATTCTTACTCTATGAGCAAGTCTTAAGTTCGGCACATTCACACATAGTGGAATCACAATACTTTAAACTCTTGAATCAACTCAAAATATTAGTGACAGCTTGTTTGTTGTTAAGCACAAACTACACAATGGACTATCTGTGTTGTGCCCATCATGAGTATTGAAACCAGGTTTTTAGTGGTGTGAATCATCAGACTTACCGCTGCGCCATTGGGGGGAGGGCATAAGTGACATAACAGAATTTTTGCATTTTAATATACAATGCCAATGATTCATATAAATAGAATTACGAGTTAAAAACCAAATATTGTTGCAAAAATTATCTTAAAGTAACAATAATTTCAACCTTGTATAGAAGCCACGAATACTGGTTTTATATAACTAATGTTTAATAAGAGTAATTCTCTTAACCCGCTAACGTTTCGTGTTATTTGCCTTACAAAACCGAATTGGATCTGGACTGAAGTGTGAGTGTTAACACGTATTATTTCAGTTTCAATGAGAAGCGATAACAAGACAACGCTCCCAAGTTAACTATAAATCGTTACCATGCCATTAATTAAAGGGTTGAACTCATAGTTTTGCGGAACTGTTAGGCAAATTAGATAAAGAAACATTATTGGTGGAGATAACAGGTGCCTAAAAATTCCGGACCCTGGAGACGTTTCGAGCTCAGTATGGAGTCCTAAATTCCGTCAGGATCTAAAGCACAATGCTTCTGGTATCAGGTGTGTACAGAAAATACCCAAACAAGAGATTTCTGATATTTCTCTTTTATAAACCAAATAAACTACGGAACAAAAGTTTATTGTCTAGACAGCAAGTATATGTTTTCAACTATGGACGCTCAAATAAAAACAAAAATATTACGAAATGTATCGCATAAGCCACGTTTTCTGTGATTATTGACAATGCTGTGTCAATTCTGTTTGGGGACAATAGTCAGTATTAACCGAATGGGCCTAATAAACATGTTATGAATTTTGTAAATATGTACAGCAGAATTAATAATAATTTCTCCGTTAATATATCACAGGAATCTTACGAAATGTCCACAATTTCTCGCTACAAATGTCTAAGAGTTTTGAAAAACAACAACAAAAAACTTTTGGAGTTAATTATGTATTCTCAAGATACTTGTTGCCATTATTTCTAGATTAAATATTTTTTAAGTCCAAAAGTTATAGAAAAATGTTATTAGATGAAAATTCTATATAGCCATGTAACATCCAAAGGCAGCCACAGTGTAAGCACGTTCAAGTGTATTTAAATATGACAATTCTATATAGCCATGTAACATCCAAAGGCAGCCACAGTGTAAGCACGTTCAAGTGTATTTAAATATGACAATTCTATATAGTTGAACGTGCTTACACTGTGGCTGCCTTTGGATGTTACATGGTTTATTTAAATGTTGAGAAATAATTAGAACTGTTAACATCAAACTGTATTATAGGGACACAGGGGGTTGACGTTGCTTTTAAGGCTAGATAAACCTCTCCTCTGATTCTCTTTTGTTAACATTAAACTGTATTATAGAGACATAGGGGGGCTTGACATTGTTGTTAAGGCTAGACAAATTATATTTTGTTTTAATATTTTCCTCTAAATTAATAACTGAAAAGTATATATTTATTTCATGCAAAAAGATTTATTGACAATGATTTGTTATTGAATGTTCAAATAGTTATTGCAAAAACTTATTGAAATTGCTTTGTTATTGTGTCATAGCAGAAAGACGTACTGACCATGTTTGTTATTGTGTGACTAAAATAGTCATCGTAAAAGACTTATCGACAATGCTTTGTTATTGTGTTACTAAAATAGTCAGTACAGAAAACTTACTGACAATGCATTATTTTTGTGTTATTGAAATAGGCAGTGCAGAAAGACCATACTAACAGTATAAAACAAAGACATCTGTCTTTGCTACGTATGCAGCATACTAGTTTCAAATTCATTGAGTAAATGTAGACTGTGAAAACGAACACGTGTGAATTTTTTTGTATAGTACAATAAGATAATTTTTGAACAACCTTATTTAATCTTTGAAGGTCCTGAAAGGTAGGATCTAGTTGAGCAGTGTCCCTCTTTCCGAGGTTTCTTAGTAATTCAGCGTTGTCCTTAATCTGTTTCTGGCTCTTTCTCATCCAGTGTCTAGCCATTTCGAAACGTAATCGTTGACTAAGTACATCCAGAGGGCTGACGACTGAAATAGATGGGCGGTTTCCACGCTTAGCAGCGATGGATTCAAGGATACTTGGGAGTGGCATCTGGAGATCTTTGCCATCTTCTAGTTTGTAGGTTTTTAGATCGTTAGTCATCACTTCAGGGTCGGCGTTTTCATTGTAGACATCAAAATAGTTGGCCATTTGAGATGCATCTTCTGGAGTTAAACCATTAATTGCATCATGGAAGAAAGTGTTTACACCAGATGTAGGAAAACCTGCAGTTTCATTAGGGATGTTATACGTGTGGACAGGATCTGTCAACTTAGATGTGTAGAGACCAAGAAGGAATTGATTTGGCTTCGTAGGAAGAGAGTATGCCAAGTCTTCAGAAGAAGCTCGAAGAGACGAAACTGACGGATAAGGAATGTGGTTGCCTTGGTAACTTGGTCTCGAAGGATGACCAATTGTAGCGTGTAGCTCAGTCCAAAGCAGGAAAAGCATAATTCGCATTCCGACTAGGAGAATTCGACATCCAGTGGTCATCGTTAGAATCTGCAAGACAACGAAATATCTGTTGAGGACAGCATTTACACTTCACTATAATTGTGACAATATTTTGTGAACAGCAATATTTTCACACGCAATTAAAACAATTTAAATACAAACACATCATCGTGTTGTCTTGGTGAATGATGGCACATGTTCTGAATTTTGTATGTAGTTTAGTTTTAGTTGAATGTTTTATTATCACAATCTACTCTGAAGATGTTTTATGTTAAAGGACGGATTTTGGTTTCACTAAATGACCTTTACCATGGAAATAGTAAAAGTTCAATTAAACGAAGCATCTGATTTCTTTGCTGGATTTCGTGCAAAGCTACACGAGGGCTATCTGTTAGTGTTAGACTAGAGGGGAGGTAGCTAGTCAACACTACTAATCACCAACTCTTGGGCTACTTTTATCATACCGAATAATAGCATTTGATCGGTACTCACGAAGCATGATGATTTTTTTGGCGGTAACAGGACTCGAACCACGGAACCTTGGGCAATTTGTATTTTCTTTGTTTACTATAAAAAGTTGAGGTACCCGTTTAGGAAGTAAAAACCGTATAAAAGACACGGTTATATAACGCCCCCCTTCCTTCTTTCTTTTGTTATTAAATCCCTAACGACTTAATTAGATGCTAATTGCATATCCTACATTTTTTTTGGATGGGTATATATATCAGAAACTGTCTGACGGTGTACGTAAGCTTTTTTGTTTTAGGATTTCTGCCGGAGAAGGGGGATACAAACACCCTAAAATTGGCACATTTCCACTTTTTTTTTATAGACCTTTGGCTTTGAATTTAAAGACACAAGTACTTAATCAGTTAAATGAGTCAATTATTACCTGCCACAAAGCAGAGTATGCAATTAGCATCTAATGATATCATTAGGGATTTAATAAGAAAATAAAGAAGGTAGTTTGTTTGTTTATAATTAGGCACAAAGTTACACAATGGGCTATCTGTGTCCTGCCCATCAAAGGTATCGAAACCAGGTTTCTAGTTTTGTAAGTCCGCAGACATACCGCTGTGCCACTGGGGGGGGGGGGCTAAAGGAAGACGGAGGGAGAACATTATCAAACATTGCCTTATATACCATATTCATTCTTCAACAGGTACCATCAGCTAATGGATAATAATCTGGAGGTTATGTTTGTATAACCTTTGTACCCTAATGGTTCAACAGTATGTTTACGGACTTACAACGCTAAAATTCGGGGTTTGCTTCACAGTGGTGGACAGAGTGAATATAGCCTATTGTGTAGCTTTGTGCTAAATCAAACAAACATACTTATAACCTCTATCGTTAATCACTTTGAAAATAATCCCCTTTTTACCATACGTTTTATTTCAAGGAGTATTTTGCTAATAAATGTTATATATCTATCTATAGTATTGTTCGTATATTTGTGTTTCATATTAATGGTAAAGTTGTAGAATAGGTTAGTTCAGTCTTACGGATTTACTTATTCAGTAACACCTGAAACATCTTCAAATGAAGAACAAGACACTGTTCATGTTGATAACAATAAACGCGTATTTAATATAACTACTGATCCCAACAAACGCATATTTAATATAACTACTGATTCTATACGAGCATACATATATGGTTTTTTACATCACAAAAATGTGTTTAAAGATGAAGAACGAATAAAACACCTTACCCTGAATGATTTCCTTTTTAAACTTCAAACAAAAGTGATTAGTCTCGAAAGCATAGAACCGCTAAATAAAAATAGGTATAAATTATGGAGTTTGTTCGGGAGGGCATATACCAATTCGCCCGACATTGGTCTGGCGAAACAATGAGAAACAACTTAAAGTTCTCTCTATACATAATGAAATAACTAGGCCATATGACACATCCATCAATGACGTAACACCATGTATGAATTTAGAGCTCTCTCTATATATGTACACAAAGAAACAATTAGGCCTAAATAATCATAACTAAAGTTCGTGATGGAATACTGCATAGGTTTTATCAAGACATTCATAGGCCTCCGGTTGGGGCCAAGATACCACGAGGAAGGGGGAACACTTAACGGATGGTGCTAATTTGGTATGACTCTTTAACTCCCCTACAAGGTCCACTATGGGTAACGTTGCTCCAGATGATTTGGTATTTGTTTGTTTGTTACGAAATTTCGCA